GTCCTTTTCCAATTCTGCTCGGAATTCTCTATGGTGATGCACGGACACTGATGGGACATTTATAGTCTGGCCTCAGCCTCTGCCTCAGCTCCTCAGAAGCTGCAAACATTCACACCTCTGTACCTGTGCACAAGCCATTTCCTCTGCCAGGAATACCCTTCCCTTTTTTTTGAGATGGAGTCTCACTCTGTTGCCCAGGCTGGAGTGCAGTCTCGGCCCACTGCAGCCTCTGCCTCCCAGGTTCAAGTGATTTTCCTGCTCAGCCTCCCGAGTAGCTGGGATTACCGCGTCCTGCCTTCTTTTTGGTCTTGAAGGCCCAGCTCAAATGTTCCCTCTTTAGGAAAGCTTTCTCCTTTCCCATGCAGCAGAGCTGGTCATTTTGTCGTCCGAGACCCCAGGGACTTTGTACTTGCTACCTCCTGGCCACAAGGCAGGACAGACTGTTGCCACCTGTCTGTTCCCCTCACTGATGGGGGCTTCTGGAAAGAGGGACCCTCAGTGTCCTCCTGGTGCCTGGCACATCATGGGACTTTGCAAATATCTGTTGGGTGAGAGAAGCTCAGTGACTGCAGAATAATGCATTGAGTGCCCTGGAGAGGAACCGAGATCACGTGATCGGAAACATGGGCTGTTTTTCAGGGGCCACGCCTAGCTGGCTCTGCTCAGGACATGTCTCATCATCCTCAAAGCGGTCGTTACAGGCTGGAAAGGGAAGCCCAGTGTCAGAGACGTGAATTCAACTCAGCTGAAGTCTCTCTCAAATTTCTAGAAAAAGATTAACAGAAGATGCTAATTATTAGGTTGGTGCAAAAGTAATTGCGATTTTTGCCATTACTTTTCTTGGCAAAAGCTGCAACTACTTGTGCACCAACCTGATATTTCAGTGATAGTAATTATGCATGTATCAAGAAGACAAAGCATCCTGAAGCACTCTCCATGTGGAAAGTCATGTTTGGATGAACAGAATAATGGTCCCCTTTCTAGGAATCTGACCCTCAGATGCTCAGCCATCTAGGAAGAGACTGAGGGGTTGGGGGTGAGTAAAAGGCTTTGGGTAACTCATGTTCTACTGAATATTTTTGCTATACAGAAGCGTCAGCTCCTTTCTAGGAACCCATGAACTCTTTATGTACATTTGTAACATGCTCTTTGATGACTCATGGTGAGCTCAGGCCATTGAGTTCGTGGTGATAGACGAGATGGTGATACTCAGCCACTTCTATGGATAGTACTGTGGGATGGCAGAATGTAGTAATTTGGTAGTGTCAATTCTGAGTTATTGGGAACATGTTAAATTTCATTTACTCTGTTTAAAAAGGCAGGAAATGCCTAATACATTTTGTTTAGAAAATGATTAGCACACCTGGCCAGGTGCAGTGGCTCATGCCTGTAATACCAGGAATTTGGGAGGCTGAGGCAGGTGGATCACCTGAGGTCGAGAGTTCGAGACCAGCCTGACCAACATGGTGAAACCCCCGTCTCTACTAAAAATACAAAAATTAGCCAGGCATTATGGTGCATACCTGTAATCCCAGCTGCTTGGGAGGCTGAGGCAGGAGAATTGCTTGAACCCAGGAGGCAGAGGCTGCGGTGAGCCAAGATCTCGCCATTGCACTCCAGCCTGGGTGACAGAGCGAGACTCTGTATCAAAAAAATAAACAAAACAAAAAAAGTGAAAAGAAATGATTAGCACACCTGGCAGGGCGTGGTGGCTCACACCTGTAATCCTAGCACTTTGGGAGGCTGAGGTGGGTGGATCACCTGAGGCCAGGAGTTTGAGACTAGCCTGACCAACATGGTGAAACCCCATCTCTACTAAAAATACAAAAGTTGGCCAGGCATGGTGGCATGTGCCTATAGTCCCAGCTACTTGGGAGGCCGAGACACAAGGATTGCTTGAGCCTGGGAGGCAGAGGTTGCAGTAAGCCAAGATTGTGCCACCGCAATCCAGGCTGGACAACAGAGTAAGACTCTGTTTCAAAAAAAAAAAAAAAGGAAATGATGAGCACGCTAGTTGGTGTTTTGAGTGTCTGTGATGTGGTTGCATTCACTTTGGTGGTATCTCTCCTTTTTCAGCGCCACCAGGTAAATAATAAAAATGGTGGATGGGCAGGCATAGTGGTGCATGGCTGTAGTCCCAGCTTCTGAGGAGGCTTATGTGGGAGGATTCCTTGAGCCCAGGAGTTGGAGGCCAGCCTGGGTAACATAGGAAGACCCTGTTTCTAAAAAAGCAAACAAAAAAACCATAAGTAACCTACCTAGCAGTATGCTAAGAGCTCTCCCCTGGCTCCTCATTTAAATTCCAATAACCCAGGAAGGAAGGTATCTTGAGCAATCCCATTTTATAGATGTGGAAGTTGAGGTTAACACACCCAGGGAATGCAACACACCCAGGGTCACACAGCAGCAAGAGCTGGATGGGAATTCGAACCCAGGCTAACAGATTCCAAAGCTGGTGCCCTTCACTCATCAGCTCTCTGACTGCTAAGGTTTTCCTCTCCTTTCAGCAAACTGCAGCCTAGTGGGCGTGTCTGCAGCCTGGTGGGTGTATCTGCAGCCTGGTGGGTGTCTCCAGCTGTCCTTTTTTTTTTTTCTTTTGAGATGGAGTCTGGCTCTGTTGCCAGGCTGGAGTGCAGTGGTGTGATCTTGGCTCATTGCAACCTCCGCCTCCCGGGTTCAAGCAAATTCTCCTGCCTTAGCTTTCCAAGTAGCTGGGACTACAGGTGCACACCACCACGCCCAGCTAATTTTTGTATTTTTAGTAGAGATGGGGTTTCACCATGTTGGCCAGGATGAGCTCGATCTCTTGACCTCTTTATCCGCCCGCCTCAGCCTCCCAAAGTGCTGGGATTACAGGCGTGAGCCACCGCGCCCGGCCTGCAGCTGTCCTTTAACTTCTCCATTTCCCCTAGTTCCTTGGGAAGGTTCAGGGTGGTGGGGTTGCCTTTCAGGATCCTTTCATCCTCAGGGCCCCTGTGCCACTGCTGTGACATTTGGTGATGAACAGCTCCCCTCCTGGAGCCAAAGAGCCTTGATTGTCTGGCCACAGGAAAAGCAGGCCACATGTCCCCTGACTGCCTGGACATGCCTTGGGGGCTGTACCTGTGGCCTGTGGTTGACCCCGCCATACCTTGTCTCTTGGCCAGAAGTAACATCCAGACTCATCTCTCTGTGTAGTAACTGGACACAGCTGGAGGGCAGGAGGTGATAGCTCCTGGGAAGTGGCGTCCAGGGTCCTGGCCCAGCAGTCACGGTGGCTGCTCTACAGGCTGCCCTGAGGCTGAGGGCTGTGTGAGTCCTAGGATCTGTTGGGGAGGCTCAAGGTGTGTCACGCCACCTGGTCCTACCTGCTGCCTGCAGCTGGGGGCCACAGGCCCCCATGTTGAATCAGTGTCACCTTCAAAGGGAGGTCACCATGCAGCAGCGTCATGGCTGGAAAGGATCAGAGTGAGCAAGAGCCAGGTTCCTTGTTTCTGATCCACCAGTGACCTGCTATGCAGAAACGGCAAGTTATTTCTCTCCTCTGGATCTCAGATTCCTCACCCTTAAATAAAAGGGCAGGCAGTGGCATGGAACCATGCTGACACCAATAACTGTTCGTCGAGGCCAGGACACAGTCTGAGCCCCACTTCTTCTTCTCATTGTTAAATGAAACAGTTGGTATGTATCTTTGCTTCTATATATCTTGTGTAAAAAATATAGAGATATATAAGAAAATGTACGTAAAAATGTAGAAGGATGTATATGAATTTGCTTACAGTGGCCTTCTCCAGGTGGTAGAATTATGGGTAGCTTTTTTGCATAGCTATATGTTTGCATTTTTTTTTTTTTTTTTGAGTCTGAGTCTCAACGTGTCACCCAGGCTGGAGTGCGGTGGTGTGATCTCTGCTCACTGCAGCCTCCACCTCCCAGTTTCAAGCAGTTCTGCCTCAGCCTCCAAAGTAGCTGGGATTACAGGCTTGTGTCATCACACCCAGCTAATTTTTGTGTATTTATTAGAGATGGGGTTTCACCATGTTGGCTAGACTAGTGTTGAAGTCCTGACCTCAAGTGATCCGCTTGCCTTGGCATCCCAAAGGGCTGGGATTACAGGTGTGAGCCACAACACCTGGTCTGTTTTTTTTTTTTAAATACAAAAAATTTGAATGCAGGATGTAAGGTTCTAAATTCTGAGCTCTGCCTCATCCTTGCTACTGCCTTTGCCCCGTGGTCGCCCAGCCCGATTGCCTCCCTTATCTCTGGAGACTGCAGCCAGCTCACCACAGGCACCGAGCTCTCCAGCTAGAAAGGTCTCAGTAGCTACACCTGCCGATTTGGCCGCCTCCTTCCTCATGATTGCAGCATTGCACACCTGAGCATGCTTTCAGTTAGGATTTGGTGGTGCCAATCTCCATTTTTAAATAGCCTAACTCGAAGTGAGCGTGCTGTCTGCTTCCTCATCTGTTGTCATTGCACCCACTGCCCCATCCCCAGAATCAAGCAGCAGACAGCCCAGGAGAGGTGAGAGGTGAGAGGGAGCAGATGAGGCCAGGGAGGGGGGCTCCGTGTTCCTCCGCCTGCTTCTCCCTCTCCAGCCATTCCCTGGCATCACTCCTGTCGCATGCCTGTTTTCTCTGTCTCCTCACTGTCCCCTAGTAGATTGTGTTCAGCCTTCAAGGCCAGTTCACATGCCATCTCAAGCCTTCGGTGGTCGAAGCAGCCTGCGTGCACTCCTTTCTCTGGCTTTCTCTACACAACCCCTCCCTCATGCCCCAGGCTCCGGTAGGGTTGTCGGTCACAGCTCTGCTCCTGCCACAGGTGAGTAAATGACACAGGCTGACCAGTCTGAAGATCTTGTCTCCCTGGTCACAAAGATTGGTTCAGGCATGGGCATGTGACCCACACAGGGCAAGTCAGATCCTTCCCTGGGAATGACGTTCGTTTTGCTGTGATTACTCGTGGGCTATGATGACTCTGTGACTGCAGTGGTCATCGTCCCTCCACAGGAAGAGCATCTGCCTGCAGAAGTAAACCATATTCCGAGCCCTAATGACATCATTGCTTCAGCCCCTGGATCCAGCCAGGCCTGAAGCAGGGTAACCCTGGACTTCCCAGTGAGGTGAGTCAGTACTCCTGTTTGTTTGAGCTGATTTGATATAGGATTCTGTTCCTTGAGTCTGAAGGAGACTTGAGTGGCATAACTTCCCTGACTCTGCACAGTCCTCTTCTGCTCAAGTTAGTAACTCACGCATCTACTTCTGTGTGACACTGTTGTTCCTTGCTGCCGTCTTCCTCAGCAGGACTCCCTGCTCCTCTTCAGGCCCACAGCTCTGACACCATAGGGGGCAGTTAGTGAAGGGTAACTGAGTGAACCAGAGAAAACATGCGTGGATATAGCCACTTTGAGACCCTTTCTGCAGCTGCTGACACTTCTGCTCAAGGATAGGCTGGGTCTTAACTTACCTGCAAGGAGGCTTTTTTTTTTTTTAAAAAAAAAACAAAACAGGCTGGGTGTGGTGGCTCACACCTGTAATCCCAGTCCTTTGGGAGGCCAAAGCAGGCTGATCACCTGAGGTCAGGAGCCAGCCTGGCCAATGTGGTGAAAACCTGTCTCTATTAAAAATACAAAAATCAGCTGGGCATTGTGGCGCACCCCTGTAGTCCCAGCTACTTGTGAGGCTGAGGCAATGAGAATTGCTTGAACCCAGGAGGTGGAGATCACACTACTGCACTTCAGTCTGAGCAACAGAGTGAGACTCTAAAGCAAAAACCAACCCCCCCAACCCAAAACCACACACACACACACACACACACACACACACACACACACCCACACCCTAGCACTACCGGCCAGCATTCCTACTTTAGGAATGAGGCTGGGCTTGAGCAGTGCCGTGGAGATCAGCTTCTGACCTGCTGCAGCTTAGAGCACAGACAAAGCTGATTCTGGACAAATGAGAAAGCCTGGAGCCATAGCACTGGCACCTGCTGGCATTCAGGGCACATCTTGGCCTGCTGGAGGGCAGCCAGGAGCTGGCCAGGAGGCTCCAGGCAGGTCCGCTGGTAGAAATGGGGCAGTGTCACGGACGGGTTTGTTTGGAAAGGAAACTTGACCATGTACAAAAGTTCAGATTTATTTCGTGTGACGCAATCACAGGACATAGGCCCTGCTTTCGGTGTAGCTGCAAGAATACAGGTTTTCTTTTTTTAAAAATGGAATCAAATGATCAGCATGTTTCCAGGTCTGCTACTTGTAGAAAGCTTGGAGGATAGTCGACGAAATGTTTTCCTTTAATAAATTAGAAAGTGTTGGCTTTTTTCCTCTAGCTAATCTTTCATAATAAATTGGATCATAGTAGGCAGGAATCAGAAAATAATTCTTCCTTGAAACCTTATATCTGTAGGTCTCAAATTGCCAGAAAATTCCCTTAATAAATAGAAAATGGATGAAAGTACAATGTTCTACAATTTGCCTATATTTTATTTGGATTTGTGGAAGTCACCCTCTGTTCCTTACACTGGCCTCCAAGTAAATTCCATGATTGTGAATTAGGTATTTAGTAAGCCCACATATGCTGGTTTTAGCAGAAGTATGGTCAGTAGGGAAAGCAAATCCATGTCTAACGATTAGAAAAGTTTTGCCCCTCCCACAATTGAAATGATACAATGGAATCAGCTTGCCGCAGGATCACTGGCTGGCTCCCTTGGGGAATGGTGACATATCTGCAGCCAGGTGAGCCTTAAGAGATGTTCTTGGGTGACTTCAGGTGCTGGGGGCTTACTTGAAGAATGCCCAGGGATAGAAGGCTGCCCGCATCCCCCACAGGGAAGAAAAGGATGCTGGAAGCCTGGTTTTCATACCCTCTGAGCAGCCCTGCCACTGCTCATGCTCCTGCCTTTGGCCAGGCCCCTCTCATCTAATCTGTTTCTGGCTTCTACCACTCCAGGACAGCTAAGGACTTGACAGAAGCCATTAACCACCATCCCTAAGAGAGGCTGACATCAGAGCTGCATCTTGGGTCTGACTGCGGAGGTTCTACTGTCATTACCTGATTTCGCTTCCTTTCCCCTCTCTCTGCTTTTCCCCTGCCACACTGTTGCATCAACATTCGAGAAATGATCTAGAAAAAAAACAAAACCAAAACCAAAAAAAAAAA